TCTCCGACTCAGGTAAAACTTTATAATAACTTGCTTTCCACCTTTATCGTAAATATCGTTAATAAATAAGAGAAATGTATCCAAGACATGATCTGTTCTTATATCTACAATACATAGTTCACACAATGTATCAATATTACATTTAAAATTTCTGATTCTAGTTCCAAGCTTATATTACTTGCTTCGTTCGCTTTCAGGTTGCAATGAACATTCTGAATAATGGTAGATTCGGTATGGCCGCTGCTCTTTCCGGCACTATGCGTTTCTGCATCAAGAAAGCCGTCAATCATGCAACGCAACGCGTGCAATTTGGTCGCACATTGGACAATTACGGCTCGATACAAGAAAAGTTGGCGCGTATGTCTATATTGCATTACATCACTGAATCCCTCGCATATTCGATTTCCGGTAATATGGATAGTGGAAGCCAAGACTATCAGTTGGAAGCAGCTATCTCGAAGGTAATTTGTCTATTGCTCGATTATGCCTTATTGAACATTGATAAAATTCTAATGCATTTTTAAAGGATAAATATATAGATCTTTCATATTTTAATAAATTATTAATGAAAGAAATATATTTATTACTAATTTATATTAAGCTATATTAAATTATAAAGATCTTGCAAAAGACTTCGCTTCTTCGCGAATTTGCTCAAGAAAAAATTTATTGAATTTAATTAAAACTAACTTGAGATTTTTATTATCCCATCTAGTCAATTTGTTTCTCATTTCAATTGTAAAATATTTAATATTTAATAATCTAACCATAAATTTATTATTTGTGTATTCATGTATCTATTATATTACTTAGTATCATATATATTTGTATCCACAAATTTGTTCTTGCATCTGTTGTTGCAGTGTTTTGCATCCGAATCCGCATGGTGGGTGTGCAATGAGGCTATTCAAACTTTAGGCGGAATGGGTTTCATGAAAGAGGCCCAACTCGAACGTGTTATGCGCGATATACGCATATTCCCAATCTTTGAAGGAACAAACGATATTTTGCGTTTATTCGTATCGCTTACTGGTATCCAATATGCCGGAAGTCATTTGAAAGAGTTGCAAAAGGCCTTCAAAAATCCTGCCACGAATATGGGAATGATCTTCGAGGAAGCGACTAAGAGAGCGACCAGAGCAATCGGTTTGAAATCACCGCCTACCTTTGGGAATTTGGTTCATCCGAAATTGGCGGAGAGCGCTGCGCTTTGCTCGGCGGTATGTGATAATAATATATTTAAACATAAAATTTTGTTAATTAAATCTAAATATAATGTATATGAAAGGAATATTATAATTGCAGTGCATCGAAAACTTTGGACAAGTTATTGAATCCTGCCTTATTAAATATGGACGAAATATTGTAGACGAACAATTTATCCTCAACAGGATTGCACAGGCTGCTTTTGATACATATACTATGGCAGTTATCTTAAGTAGGACAACTATGTCGTTGAACAAAAATCTGCCTAGTGCAGAACACGAATTATTAATGACACAAACTTGGTGCATGGAGGTATGAGCATATATTCTTTATCAATATTTTTTAGCAGGATCAATAGGTATAACTGTCAAATATTTGCTATAATCTTTATTTATAATTTTCATATTTTATGAATAAATGTATAGATAATATTTAATATTAATATATTTTGTTGACAATTAGAAATAATTTAAAAATATTTAATTTTTTAACCTGCTATTTTTATTTGATCCTGCTACTAATAAAGCAAATACAAATTTATTTTGTAATTGTTAAATATGATTTTTATATAATTGTTACCTGCTATCTAACGCATTATTTTGCTATTACAGGCGTCAAGTCGTGTTGCGTACAACTTAAAACTGGTCAATTCCAGCAAACAATTGGACATCTTTAATAAATTGAGTAAAATTTCGAGAAACGTTTGTGATGTAGGCGGATGCGTACAATTAAATCCTTTGGGTTTTTAAAGACAGTAAATTTATTTAATAAAATTTGTTTTACGGGATTCTTTATCAGATCAAAAGAATAATAGAAATTGCTTTCAATTAATGCAGAAAAAATTGAATATTTTCATTTTCTTTCATTCTTTCTCAGTTCGTATTTTAATTTATAGATTGTAAAAATAAAAAATATATAAAAAAATATATAAAAGTAAAAAATGTAAAGTATAAATATAAAATTTATAATGTCTATAATGTAATATCTTCCATGAAAATTACTTACAAACAATTTCGAGCAATCAACAATGTAAATAGTAAACTTAATAAGGTGTAAAGCATAAGGTGTATCATGTAAATATAAAATATTATGTATTTTTAATATCTCTTTATACCTCTTTACATGAAACGGCGATTTCAGATGTATATAGCCATAATACAAACAAATAATGCGGTCCGTCTGACGTTTCTTTTCTTAGATGCTGTTTATTCACTTTATATATCCATCAGTGTTTTGTTAAAATAATAAAAATAATTTTAATAAAAATCACACCACGTTAAGTCGTCTTTTACATAATAAATTAAATGAAAGACTTTAAATGGGAGAAGTGTATCATCTTACAGCATATACATATATGTCCTTATCTTATACATTTAAAAATATTTTAATATATTGTAGCTGCTCTTTTCCCACTTAAAGAAACTTCTCGACATAAGACATATGAAAGAAAATGTATCAAACAGGAAGTTACAATCATTAATTATATAATAACTGATCGCTCGTTTTCCTAATCGTTAAATGCACAATTTAACAATATCACAATTATGCGAATATAAAGATGCACAATTTTTTCCATCGTACTTTGTCAATTCATAATGACAGTGGAAGCACTGAATGTCCATATATATATATATATATATATATATATATATATATATTCCATATCGTATTCTTTTTCAAAATGTACAACATCCGTACATAAGATCATTGTAATGTAGAATGAAATCGAGGCGAAAAGAAGAAAAATGGAAAGCTGCACGCTATATCCACATAATATGATCGTGTTACTCAAATTTGAGAATCAAATTTCTATTTTCAATTTCTTGTTTCAGTCTTACCGACTCACTTATTATTTTATCGCGAATTAATCGCGAATAATTCTATCTTGTTTGAATGCAATATATAACGGAATTCGTTAATAATAATCTTGAACAAACTTCTTAAATATATGGCTTTTTTAGGCAATTCTAACAAAGTGAACAATTCGTTGTCTATTATTCGAGATTAAATAAGACTTATCAGATTCTAAATTCAATGATGTTGAGAAAAAATAGATGCAATGGATTCAATAATAATATCGCAATATTCTATTAAAATGGTTCAACTTAAATGTGATCAATAATTAATCCAATTCCAAAAAAAAATCTCGCTGTACAAGTTGATATAAAAATAACATAGATGGAGGTTTATCACAAATCTTTCCTTTTTCTTTCACTTTAAAGAGCCGACAAGTGAAATTTGCAAATTCACTATGTTTCAATGAGCTTTGAGATCTCACTTAATTTTCATAGTGGCAGTGCTTGGCTCGAATTCTCACGATGACATTTCGAAAGACGTGCTAGATACGCGAATCTTGACTTCCAAGGGAGCTTTGATTCTCAAACTTGAAGTCGAACACGTTAACGAACATTCGAACAAATTAGCAAACTTTATCTGGAGTGACACATGACACAAAACTAATGTAAAAAAAGGTAAACTCGGTTATTCCTCTACTGTGTAAAGGCGACATGTTGAGCGACGGAGGCGCAGGCGGGGATTTTACCTACGAACGTTGATAGACATCGTAACAATGGCTGCAATTTTTGTAACTTCTGAGAAAAATAGAACATCTGACTATCTTTTTCTTTATATATGTATTTGTTACTCCAGGTATGTGCTTTTACTCGTCGAAGGGGCAAGAGACCGAAGTATCACCCGTACATCTTGCTGCGAATCCACGCAGTTTACTGGTGGAATCTATTCTCGTCGTCTCTTAAATCTAATAAGTTACCGTTGCTCGCGTAATGCTAAAAAGTATCGGAAAGAAACAGTCAATAAACACATACAAGATAGAAGATTGTGATTATATAAGGACTCGCTCGTTAACAGACCTGGGAAGTTATCGTCATTCGTGTCCGAGGTATAATCGCCAAAATCACATACACACCGGTCACTGTACAACGCTATTACAGAACTATTCCAGTCCGATAGGCCGTCAGATTCCAGAAAAGTGATCAATGCCCCTCTACTGATACTCGATAAACAATCTCAATGGTCACGCTTCATTTCTCCGTGACGATAAAATCCGAGGCTCTGCCTATAAGATGCGCTTCGTATCTGCAAAAGGATGACTCGAATATTTTATAAAATTATATCTTCTCGTGTTATCCTTAAATTGAATACACACGCGTCGCCCTGATATTCCTCAATATGAAAATAAATCTTTGATGATCCCTCCTATCAATACGTGACCTGCTTAAGTGCGAACCTATACTCTCCGTTATTGGTGTTAGAAAGAAGCGGAATACTGTGCTGGCATAAGCGTTTCTCGTGTTATGAAGTAAAACGATCAGATTTCCTTTTAATTTATATCGAAGAACATCGGCACGCGTTTCTTCTTCTTTTATTTTGCAATTTATGGAAGCGAAGATGACGGGTTCCACATCTAAGATCGAAAAAATGAGATTTAATTAAAAGTGCACATCGCCGATTTTTTTTTATTCAGGATGATATTCGCAAATGCGCGGTATCTGATCGCACGTCGATCCTTTCGCAAGAGCACCACGCTCGACACTTAAAATCTTACTTTCGTTGCATACATTTGCTTTTATTATCTTAAATAATCACTCATATATGTATATATGTATATATATATATATATCTCTGCGCGTTTGCGCCTGTACGAAACTGGTCGCTTATAGCGTTTATATCATAATACTAATCGCCGTATTATGGCTCAATAATTCATAAACTCTAATATATAATACACACTCAAGGATCGGGTCGCGCGGCGTTAAGGAATAATTTTACATTGTATTTCAAATATCATAATACGAGTATATATTAAGACTTTCGTAGAATTGAATTTCTATGTACGGACATTTCAGAAAAATAGAATTTCATATTTTGCGAGGAAAGATAAAAAATATATAAATATCCGCATCTTTTTAACTGTACTTTCTACATGTCCTCCTAGCTTCTTTTTCTATTATATAGATTTTATCTGCATAAAATGAGACTACACTCTTTCTGTACACATTACATTAATCGTAAGGAAATGCAGATAAAAAGAGCAGATTTTTGCAGATTTTACGAAATTATTCTTCACAATCAACTTTCATTTATTAAAACAAAAAAATTATAATATTCGGAAATTATAATATGGATTAATAAGCGAGATGATAAAAATATAATAAACGTGTTGAACTGCTGATCCTCAATGATATCTCATAATATAATAAATTACTCTGCGCACTATGTCGCGCCGTTTGGCCGCAACTATATAACAACAGCGATCTATAATAATTATAATAACGACCGTAAAACTTTATACATAAGTCTGCGGTAAAGTGCGAGACGATTTTTCGCAAATAGAATTACGGATTACACATTAATTTAGATATGTTGCATGTAAATTAGAATGACTGGAAGTCTCATCTGCGAAAGGATGCCAGACCTTGTCCGACCAACCGTTCACATCAGCTAGCTGCGTATCTCGTATCGCGCGCGATTCAATCAGCGTGCGGTCGCGGCTTCTCCCGTTACAGCGCTCGTTAAACAATTCACGATGCGTACAATATGCACTTGACGAAGGATGAAGAATACATTCGAAGCATATATAAAAATTATTAACGGCATTTCTGTAGACGAAAAAAGTTAGAAGCATTTCAACTCGAGGACGCTATTTCCTCACGACGTAGACTATCTCGACTCGTCGATTAATCGATGGGGGATGTACTTAAGCGCAATCTGAGAAATGTTAATCTCCCGCTGTCGATCGCGGCATTATGTAATTTACGACGGCTCGCTGAGCCTGAATTACATGACGTCAGTACCTGGAGTAACTTCGCGAGAGAGACACACACAGAGAGGAGAAGTTAGGCGGTGTGATGCCTAACCCTGTGCTATAGACAGATTTTTAAACGTTTGTCCGTTCCAAGCGACGGCGATGCAGTAATGCTGGAGCAACTGAGTGAGGAGTTCTCGTTCGTCCAGCATTTCTATGTGCTCGATTCGACTACGATCCATTACAGGCAGTGAATCATAAACATCCACCATCGTCCACGCACTCGTGCCCTCCCAATTGTTTATGGTAAAGCTACAACAATCGCAAGCAAATTATCGATATGTCAATCGTCATTGAGCCAGCAAAGAATACACAGAGGGATGTACTTACCGTCTCTGTTGTGTCTCTAACGATTCGCAATCTTCCACGCCTGCCAATAAGCACCCACGGCTGCGGAGGTTCGACAGCATTACTTGACCAAATTTGTCTTTCATGTTCACCTGTTCGTAGCTGACAAAAAGACTGTTCGGGAACTTGCCCGCCAGCCATTTCAACAATGACGAGGTTGCGCTAGCGTCTACATATACTAGAACACATTCTGCGAGGAACATAGTGGGTAAATTGAAATTGACTTCAGCTTGGGTCAACTTGTTATTTAGCTCCGCTATGTGTCGCAGATCTGTACCAACTAGATGATAATTCGCGGCGTGCAGGTCTGTGGTCGAAAATCGGATTTCTCCATCTAAAAAGTTATATTGAGTATTGCAATAAGAAAGTACAGATGCATGAAAGATAATGAAGTAAAGCAAGCACACATGCGAATATATATAAGTACCTTCGGTGTTTAACATATCGATTAATTGCTTGTGTTTCTTGATGTGATAACATTTCTTTGCAGTTATGCTGGGAAAATCGAGCTCCACGAAATTTGCAGGGCTATTCCCTGCCTCTCTCAGCCTCCAATAAAGAGTGTCAAAACCAGCACCCAAATTTATGATCTGACCTTTACCACCAGACAGCTGCATAAATAAAAAATTCATCCGTGAGAACATGATATTAAAAATCTCTTTCTTATGCTTTATAAAAGAGAGAGATATATAAAGATATAAGATCATTTTAATAACAATTTTATTTAAACTTAAAAATTTACACAGAATCTTAACATATAAAAATTATTTTTATTAAAACGCTAATAATAAAAAAATGCACATTACAATTCTTATCTAAAAATCTTAAAAGTTAAATCCATATACATTGCAAACAAAATAATTAATAGAAAATAAATTATAAAAATCTTTCTAGAAGAGAGTAAACTAATTTTACTTAATATTTAAACGCAGTCATTTTTCCGAGCATAATAGAACTTCTATTCGCACTGCAGAAGGCAATTGATTTTTCATTTTTATGGTCAAGATCCTCTACATTATATATATATGTGTACATACGTATACAGCGTGTATATGTATATACGTGCGTGCGTGCGTGTGTGTTCGATTTAGCAGCGCTCGAGCCAAGTAACTTGGAAGTGGAAAACGGAGGCGTTCGTTTACGTGCGACAGGGCGGAATATTTTTGACCCGCTATAACGGGTAAATATTCGCGACGCGTGCAGCTCTCTCGTCTCCGAGCTGGCACCGGCTGCACGCGCCGCACCGCGCGTTTTTCATTGACCTATATATCGGCTGACCGTCGCGATAGAAGCGGGGAACCTCGCGGGAATTAGGACAGGGCCTCGGCCGTCGGCGGGTCAAGGTTTCCGCCGCGGCACGTCCCTGCCGCCTGGATCAGCTGTATTCCTCCCTTCCCCTTCCCGTCCCTCACGCTGATGTTCTCCCTCGTTCTTTCTCTCTCTCTCTCTCTCTTTCTCTCACCACCCACATCATCCCGATTTCCCGATTCGCGTTCTAGGTTAATACCCGCCGTGAACGAGTCCGTTCGTCCCAGCTGCACTTTCCTACCCTTTCTGCGATCGCGATAAGGAAATGCAGGCTCTTCGCTGATCGTCCAGAGACGAAATAGATAGTACAAGAGAATGCAAACCGCGGAGAACGCGAGCAGACGGATATAAAGTTAACGTACGTCTCATAAAAAGAGGCGGGAAGAAACGATAAGGGTGTAGAAGGTGCAGCCGAGCGAGAGACGTTGGAGTGTCGCGGATTCAACGGGATTATTTTTTTCGTTTTCTCACTGCGACGTATCGCGCGTTTCCGCGCTCGCGTGTCCGCGCGAATCCGGAAGAATAAGAGAGAAAAGGGAGAGAAAAAGAGAGAAACGGAATGAGAGAAAAGACGAGGCCCTGACGCACGAGGCTTGACGCTCACCTTGAGGAACTTTTCGACGAAGAGCTCGATGCCCTTGACTCTGGCGTAGTAGCCGCGATTGATCTCAGGCGCCTTCCGGGCGGTCTGCTTGACGAACAGGCTGATGAACGGGTCGCACCAGTAGCCGAGCTGCACCGCGTAGCGCTTGCACTCGCTGGCATCGTCGTTGGTGGCCTGTATGGCCTCATCGTCCGCCATATCCTTGATCATCCCACCGGCGCCGGGAATAGTGGCGGGTTGCCGCGCCGCTCCGCTCTCGCTCTATCTTTCACCGTCTCTCACTGACACGCGCGTATACACCATGCACTTTATTCCTCCCTTCTCCTGCACTCCCGCTATCTCAGACGAGCGCGAGCATTCTACCACTCATGCGACGCGATGCGCGCGGACTCCCCGGGGATGATGCGGCGTACGAGCGGACGATCACGTATCTGTCACTCACGGCGCACCACTGCGCCATCAACGGCCATTGCTATTCCCCGCCGGGTGCTGCACCCGGCTACACCTGCGCGCTTCGGCGCGACGCGAGCGCGTAGGGCGCCTAAATAAAATTTCTTTTTCATGTTAAGCATGATATTAAATTCATTATTATTAATACAAAAGAATGTATTGGCTGTATGAAATTAAATTGAAATTTGAAAACATATTTTTTATTTCTAATTTTTTGTAATGGATAATGTAAAGTTTTAATCATGAATATCTCCAGAAATTAATTGCAAAAAATTAATTAATAATTTAGGAAGATTTTGAGAATTATTTTAAATACTACATATCGATATATAAATTAAATTTAAATATGAAATTTATAAATAATAATAATTCTGTATATGTGTGTGTGTGTGTGTGTGTCTATAATTAATAATTTTATAATATATATTTAAAATATATCATTATTGCAATACAAGTTTAAAAATTAAATATGTAATATCCAAACTGTTCGGAGAATTGTGCTCATCTTTTATGATACTCAGAAAAGATGATAGGATAATTTAACGTAACTTTTATGTTTCTACCAATTTTATGACATATCTCTAATATCGATTTCGAGCTTTAGCATTTCCATCTCAAGTTTAAATAGTGATCATAAAAAGAATATAAAAGCGAAATGACTCACAAAAATTATTTATTCCGCATATTATGCATATATCGGTCGCTATTTATGTATTTATTATATTTTTATTAATTTTCTTGAAATTTAATTTTCAAATATCCCTCTATTTATTAATAATAAAATATACTTAAGCCTGAGAGAAATTAAGCTGTTATATATTAATGATTTTTCATTAATAATTTTTCTACTGACAACTTTTTAACGATAATATGTATATCATCGACGACATGTGTTTTATTGATAAGTCTTGTTACAAATTTTACACTGCGTCTTTGGAATATTTCCTACAATTTATTCCTTACGAACAGATTGACAAAGACTTTTTCATTATTATTAGAAAGCGTTTTTTTCAATTGCGTTATATTATATATTGCAATCAGTTGAGTTGAATTTTCTCGAAAGATCAGAGTGCATGAAGTAGTGCATTCAGAAAGAGCTGCTTGATCTGCTTAAATCTAAATTAGAGTAAGAAATTCGTTATTTGTATATACATATATTATGATAAAGATGAACATTTTTCCAAAAATGTCAACGAGACAGAGTAAAAATACACACTGAAAAATATAATTTAATATATAATATATATAATATATAATAATATATAATATATATGAGTATACAAAAAATGAGCCGCTAAGATTTCTCGTAATATCTTAATTTTCGCAGCGTTATATTGCTCCCGGTGTGTATATTGAATTATTATTTTCTCTCTCTCTCTCTCTCTCTCTATCTATCTATCTATCTATCTATCTATTTCTATCTGATGAAATTATAATCGAATCCGTGACTGGATCTTCTTCTTATTCATTATTTCATGTGACAAGATTTCATATAACAAGATTCTATATATTGCAAAGATAATACATATTGCATATAAATAAAAAATGTGAACTTCGCTCTTCGATTTGAAGCATAATGGCGCAGAAAATAAATTATTTAATATAATAAAACGTAAGATAGAAAGAGAGAAAAAAAAGTTCTGATCGCAAAATTTTCATAGATTTGAAAAACGTGACTTCACACGGGATCAATCGGAATCAGCTGGATTCCTTTTTCCTTTTTTGTCAACACGTTCTATCAGATTCATTAAAGCGGGTAAACAAATATAAAATGCTTGCTCGGGGTAAGATGCTCGAACTCGCGTTGCTCAAACGAGACAGATCATGCATCATTCGAGATCTATCCCGAACAATATTGGCTCGAGGAAATGATAATTACACAAATATTATATCTAAGAACATAGATAGGAACAAACCATAGGGGAGAAGCGAGTATATCGTTAATTAAAAAAAGAAACAGAAAAGAAAAGACAAATAGCGTAATGTAGCTCGTATATAAATACGAATTTATGGCGGCGTTGATTAAACTCTCGGTATCACTCGATATTTCCGCAATAAACGCGGCGAGCTCAACGATGATATAGAAATTCTTGCGTAGATATATTAAAAGTATAAAAAAAAACCATAAAAGACTAGCGAGTGTGATCTTCTAGTGCCATACGTCCTTAATCCTTCCGAGACAACATTCGGATTAGGTCGCGACAAGCTTTGTGTCTACTACGCTTTGCAGCTAACCAGATCACTAATCGAATCTCGTGGGGAATTTCTTATCTTAAGAAAACTGTAAAAAAAGGTATTTGTGCAAAAATACTTAGTCTTCTAAGAATGCGGAATCTCGGAAGGATTAAAGTTTTTCTCGATGTATATTTTTCGTTCAGCGCGAGCTAAATCTCATCCTTTTAAAGAATGAAGATTCTTTTTTCATTGAAATATCTTCTGGTCTCTTGGACTTCCGCGCTGTTCGAGGTTATTGTCGACTTGAATCAACCGGTTATTCTTCTGCTTCTTTCTTGCCGGTTGTTCCCTTCGCATTCGTGCTCTTTGTTTTCCGCTTGGGCGGAACAGGGGTGTCGGGGCCAACGGCGTCGGCTGATGACGGTGGCGGTGTTTCCGGCACGCTTGTATCGGTCTCCAAGGTCTTCGTGCCGATCTTCTTCGTTGTCTTTACGGTCTTCTTCGCCTTTTGTGAACTGTCCGCGGTAACGCCCTCCGTCGCAGTTGAAGATACCGCCTCATCGGCCTTCGTCTTCGGTTTCTTCGTCACTTTCTTTACCGCCTTCTTCGCCCCTTTCTTGTCTGCACTCTCTCCATCGGCGCCTTCAGCTGAATCAGATTTTTTTAGACTTTTCTTCGCAGTTTCTTCCGCCTCCTGTGTGCTCTCCACGGATGGACTAGGCGCCTCGGTCACCATCGGCGTCAATGGGATGCTTGACGGTTTTGCTTCAATGGATTCCATCGGCGAGCTCTGTTCGGCAATCGGTGATTTCGGAACTTGGGTTGGCGATTCCGGAACTTGGGTCGGCGATTCCGGAATTTGGGTCGGCGATCCCGGAACTTGGATCGGCGATCCCGGAACTTGGATTGGCGATCCCGGAACTTGAATCGGCGATCCTGGAACTTGACTCGGCAATCTCTCTGCTTCCGCTACTTCGGCTTGTTTGGTAGGCATTGCCTCTAGCGCTGGTTCCGCTTGCGTAATTGTTTCCGGTTGTTTCGCGATCGCTTCTGCTACCTCCGTTTTCACTACAGATTCTTCTTTCATCGCTTCTATTTTCTGCTCTGGAGGTTTCGTTTCCGTCGTTTCCATCTTTATAATCAGTTCTGCAGGTTTTGTTTCTTCGATTTTCGCCATTTGTTCTGGAGATTTCGCTTCTGTTCTTGCAACTTGTTCTGCTAATTTTTCCACAGATGATGCTTCTGAAGGCACTACTTCACCTAATATCTTTTCTTCAGTGACCTTCGGTGGCTCTGATGGCACATTCTTAGTTGTGAGCAAGATTGATGCCTTGGTTACTTCTGCAGGAACATCAGTCTTTTCCGGTATATCGGGAATTACAGCCGCAGTTGTCATAGGAGCATCAGTCTTTTCCGGTGTATCGGGAATTATAGCCGCCATTGTCGTGACATCGCCGCGTTTCTCAGCCTCGCAAGCCGACCCGTTCAACTGAACAGATTCCACTGGAGTCGGCACAGATGCAACATCCGTGAACTCGTGCACTGCCGTGACCGTCGTGGCGATCGCTTGATCGCTCACGGTCACGGCTGCGTCCAATACGGACTCCTTGGGTTCCGCCTGAAGAACCGATTCCGCCACTTGAATAGGCACAGGACTCACGGTGGAGATTTCGGATGCCGCTAACAGCATCTCCGCGTGTCGCTCGCTTGGATCTATCGTTAGAGGCTGCGTTACGTCAGGCATGGATTCGACTACACGTTTCGCGGCGTCTTCCATCGGCGCTTCGCTCGCTACAGAAGGAACAGTAACCTGCGGACTAATCAAAGTTGCAGACTGCGTCGCGTCTGGAACGACCGAAGTTGGGGTCTCTGGTTTGGCCTCGATAGGCGCTGATGTATCATCAATTTTCGCAACCGGCGTAGCTACCTGCACAAGTTTGCAGACCGCGTCCGCCAAGAGGTACGTAGATACCTGCAAATCAGTTTGTTGCGGTTCTTTCGTTTCGAGAAGAGATTCGCTTTGAGGCGCTGTTTCTTGCGTGGCCTGCGGACTCGCGAGTTTACATTCTGAAATTATTTTCGCGGGCAGCGGTTCTACCGGTAGCTTCGGCGGAGGCACTTCGATTTCGCATACTTTTACATCCTTTGATTCCGTTGTCGGTTTCACACAAACGGCTTCCAATTGTACCGGCTCGCTGGCGACTTTTGTTGCAGCGGTTTCTACCGTGACGCTCTCGCCAGAAGGTAACACGGGTGCTTCCTGCTCGGGAATTTGCGCCATGGGAAGCTTCTCCTCTTTGGGAATTTCACATACTAGACATTGCGTTGGATCCTTGTCTGCCTCAACTGAATGAGGAGAAATAAAAATAATAGATGAGTGCCGTCAAAAATATACATATACAAAAAAATAAATATACAAAGAACTATTCTAGTAAAAAATTGAGTGAAGAAATCGTGCGACAATTCTATACGGTGAATGGAGACCGTTTTCTTTTCTAATTTAAATAGAAGTAGAATTGTCCATTGAAAGAATCACATATTTACAAACAAATTACATTTCATATTTTTAAGCAAAATAGGCAATGCTGATGAAAAGAAAATTTGATATTAATTGTATCTATCGAAATGTATCACGAGTTTAAACAGTGCAAGTATGTACATAAACCATGAATGAATAACAATTAATAATAATTACGTTTGCTAAGCATTTTGACAGACCAGAAGTTACATGAATCCACATATATAAATTATAAATAATGCTCATGTGCTCTTTGTTAACATAAAGCATATAAAGCGTAACAGATACAGTTTAATATTTCGCACATATAATGACAACCTGTCTAATAAAATGATAATAAAAGCTGATTATATAAAGCAGCAGCATTAAACAAGCAATATTTCACAAATTGTTTAATTAATAAATAGCTACGATTTATAAAGGCATGCTATTCATGTACAAAAGCATGAAATAACAATTTTCAAAGTATTTGATTGTACCTCACACATTTTGTTCATATATACATTTGATTTTGTATATCGATTATGTACACTTTAGAAATATATTACAGCAATGAATTTAAAGATACAATAATTCTAAGAAATATTTTCTTAAACAAGAATAATTTTTAATATAATAAAAGTAAGAATAAAAATGCAGTTTTAATTTTAATGCATTTATGCATTTTATAAATAATTAAGAAAATAGATAAGAAAATAAAAATTTTTTTAAAATATCTGATTTAAAATCGAAAATCAGTAATAATTTTAGATTATTTTATTTTGTTTTACTTTAAAGTGTAGGATAAAAAAATAAGTAACAATGTCAGAATGTAATGTTTTGTGTGAGCACATAAAATATTTACCCCATTAAAGCAAAACGACAATACAAGACGCAGCAATGCTATGGCGCCAGGATCTGTTAGTTGCTGTCCTCTGTTCCTGTTTCAAATACTCAAACTGGATAAATTGCATTAACAAAAGTATATCATTTCGTACACTTTTCGTTCGAAATATTGTAACGAATTCGCGTATCGACATAAGCGTTTCAATTTATAATCATTTCCTCGCTCAAGGGCAATGTCCTCAACTTGAAACTATGAAATTGATTATCGCATGCTGTATTAAATAGAACGAAAAAAACAAACAAAAACGCAAAGCATACTCGAGGAAACAGTTAATGGCTTTGCATTGTGAGCACATTAAATTCTTTCAACAAAATACTTCACATATATCTTATTATTCTAACGATTGGTAAACAGTGCTCTTTGAGTCAAATATCGTTATTTCAATTTTTTGGTGAAATATTTTATCTCATGATATATGATTACCTGTAATATAAAATCTTAAATGTGCTTCTCAATTTATTTATTACAATTTTATTTACAATAATTTCGCATAACTTTATGTGTATTAGACGAAACTTACCGGCTGATTTTTCCACTTCGACACTTACAGATGCATCAACAGTCTGTGTTACAGCAGGCTCAGAAATAGCGATATCCTATGAATATTCATCAGCATGAATTATTAATCAGGACAGTATTCAGCATTATAATTTTTCAAAATCAGTTTAATAATTGACGAGATTTAGTTTCGACGATTATGATTCGAGCATAAGTCATAGTAGTGTCTAAACTTTCCATTACGATGAGTATGCCAGTATTATTGTCAACGTAAATATTCAATATTGAACAACCTCTTTAGGTGGAGTCAGCTGCCGTTGCGGCACGAGAGAGAGTGTCTCGCAGATCTTCTTCCATATATTGTCAAAGCTGTCGCGACCCATGTAGTCGATCTGTCCTTGCTCCCAACTCTGCTTCCTCATGTGCTCCTCCAGGGCTATTTGTTCGGCGCTCCTCGCCTCGCCCAAAGTTATTTGAGCCAAGGCACCGGCAATACCCGCCTATGTAATTAATAAAAACATTCCTTGGTTTAAATTACTCGCAACATCAGGGAATAGATTAATGTGAAATGATAGCATGAGTCGATAAACACACGTGTTAAGCAATTTTTTTCTTCCGCATTCCTTAAGACATCTCACAAAATAAAACATGCTACTTACATGGAAAACACTTTGAAATAGGTTGTACAAGTCATGAATATAATGTAAAAGAAATACGGGTTAGTATACACAAAAACATAATTTGACGAATTGTTATATGTATTTTCCAGAAAATAAACGGAATATGTCTACAATTCCCTTTATGAAATGAAAATTTTGTATGTATGCAATAAGTGGCGACACAGTAATAAATGATTTTGCGCATAAATTAGATATTACAATATATTATATTAAATAGGTATTCCCAATAAAAGTGCAAGTAATGTCCCAAGCATCGAAATAAATGAAATACACGAATGACACAATGTAAAAAAGATGCCATTTACAGCAATGTAACTATATAAATGCATTCGTGATTTTTCTTTATTCAAATAAAACATATTTTCGGAAATATATATGGAGGCATACAGCGATGATCTATTTGACTCGAATTTACAAAAAAAGGATATGGGAACAATTACTTACATTTGCATTGTCTAGATGTTCCGTTACTTTCGGGTCGGATCGCGTGGCTACATTGTGGAGATCTGTACAAGGTATAGGAGAGGGAGAAGGAAGGAAATCGATTCTCCGTGTGTCTGTCTGCTTATTTACAGCTTCCGACACTTGTTCACTATGTTGTTCCTTACATCGACAATAGTGAGATGCAAAATTATCCTGAGCATGATGACTATTAATATGCTGCGCGTGAGACTCGTTATGAGATATAATATGACTGTGATGGTCTGCATCTTGATGACTAGTTTGACCACTATCAGCATAGTGTTGCGCGCGAGTCTCGTGTCTCACTTCAGTAGGCTGTTGTTCGTAAACTAGTTGATGCTGAACATGATAATCGCTCGCTTTGTTTTCATGATATTGATGATGCTCATTATGATGCCTTGGCTCGTGATGTTGATGTACATGATGATGTCTCTGTTCCTTCCACTGATATTGTTCATTATGCTGATATTGTTCAACGTGATATCTTTGTTCACTAAACTGCTGCCAGGTATGATGTTCAGTTTGCTGTACAAAATGCTCTTGATTATTTTCTTCAGAATGAGAAATCACATGTTCTTGATATTGATCGTGCTTTTGTATAGACGCGCAAGAAGAATGCTGTTGCTCGTGATGAAACTGTTTATTGTGTTCGGGTTGAGATGTATTGTGATCACTTTGACAAATCGGCTCTTTCTCGTACTTAATTTCGCAGTAACAACTGTTGTCCTTGCCACTCAGTGCGCTACCATCGGTCAAAAACGAATCGTTCCGTGGAGAGTATTCCTCCCAAGGGTCTTTAAATTCGGAGAAATCCGGTGTCCGAGAGTTGTACGTATTGCGGATTGCTTCGTCGGAGTAATTGGAGATTTCTCTAGGAAAGGGAGGTACGTAGGATGGGAGAGCAAATGCGTGCCAAATTGGAGCCAATGTGCTGGTGGCCTATGCAAGCATCATGCCAAAACAGAAAAATGCACACTCGATCGGTTAGTAATAAACTAAGTTTGGCAGTGTCCATTTTTCTTGCCGCGTTATATTTTTCTATATTATGTACACGTCTAACATTACACGATTCCAATAATGTAAAATGTTATTTCATCGTAAATAAAATAACGATTATGATATTATTATATTAGCTTCGGAATACCATACGAATAACATTCATGCTCGACCCATTCATTACAAATATTACGAATAATGCAATTAAGCATTATTATATGTAGCGACCGAATTATAAAAGTAATTTGTACGAAATACAAGTAAATAAGTTAGAAAGAACAGAAATCAAAGAAAAAAAAAATAGACACTGATTTAATACTAGGAAAATCCACTATATTAACAGCCACATTATTCGTTTAGCAAATTTTTGTATAATGGAAAAGTATAGATAAATTAATATCTAAATTCTTTATTTATTGCAAAAATGTATCTTTTTCGGAAGAAATATATTAAATATAAAAAATGTAATATAAAATTAATATAATTTTTATAATTAATGTATATATAATTTAATTTTACATATAATTTAATAAGTTAAAATGCAGCTACTAATAATATACGCTAAATAAAATAAATACATGGAAAAAGCAAATCAAAGAATATATTTTGAACTCTACAACGTAAACTACGACATTAAGAAATTTTCACTCGGGTTCAAAATGTATTCAAAGTGCAGTGAAATTTATACAGTTTATATATATAAAGAAGCAAAAAAAAATAGCTATAATTATATTCTCAGATGCTACCATTTATTATGCAAGCTTTCATATAGCATTAAAAAAAAGTCATTAAAAACTGCAAGCAATTCGAGAAATTTATTTTAGATTTGTACAGCTATATTTACAAAAAATAATCAAGTACAATTCGATGCAACTCTAATATTCATCAGAAAAAATTTTTGACGACAGAAATATTCTCAGAATTACATCGTAATTTTTATCAAACGTACGTAATCAATTCTAATTTTTTCAAATACTAAAACGTGGAAAGTAATCTATTCTAAAACTACGAGCAATAGAAGGGTATATCGGAATATCTTACCCTCATTTCATTCATAATTGAATATAATTGCTCACTGCTTTGCTTGTAAAACAAATGCATAAATGTAAGAAAATAATTGCAATATTTTATCATTTCTTGCAATCAAATGCATAAATATAATAGAATAAGGTGTAAAAAAGTTGTTGTGTTATTCATATATTATTAACATGAGTAAGAAATATCCTTTATTAGAATTATAAAAATTAGTAAAAAAAGAATATGTATGCATTTCAAAGTGTTCAGATTAAAAATATTATTCGTTTTAGCATATTAAATGCGAACCATGCTAAAACGAATTTTTGATTAAACTTACCATGGAAGGCGTCAGTTGAGGATGCACTCGTTCGCAGAATATATTCCACCATAGTTGCAACAGCGATTGCAAATGTGCAGATCCTGGTGGGGGTTGGACGGTACCGGTCAAAGTATCGAAATACTGTAACCACGGTTTCGTTATGCCGATAAAGTGTATTATTCTTACGTCGTCGCCGAATCTAGGGTATAAACGTGAATTAGAGAACAGAGCAGAATACAATCGCGGCAAACCGAAAATGATGCGAGCGCTTACTGTTTAAATGCGGGAAGATACGAGTATGTTGCGGTGGAACACATATTGTAGATAAACGGCAGATGCTTAGAGATATCCTTAGTGGCCCAGTCGCTGAAGTACATGTTCAATAAGCCTTGATCACCGCCATCGAACGAGCCCTTGGCGGCGGCGAATGCAATGATTGACGCGAACGTTTGTTGAGATGGTCTGAACACAAATACTCCGGAATTGAAACAGTCAGGCCAGCCGACATCGGGCGCAGCTGATAACTCTTCTCGCTCGAATAACTCATCGCAATTTCGTACGACCTAGAAACGTTAAATGTGCCTACTGACAGTTTTATCTCGCATTATAAAGGTTCTGGTTTGCTGTTTATGTTACATATTTTACTTTTTTACATTATCTAATAAAATATGACTAACTTCTCAAATGTGTCATAATAGAAAATTATTAATAATCAGGAATTGAAAGCTTCAATTGTAGTTCTAATTCCAACTTTAACATTGGTATCAAATGTATAAATAATATAAAATAGAAATCTTATAAGAGAGTCTTAACAAAATTTATTTGTACCTATAATAAAATAAAAAATATATATCAAATATGTTATAAATTGGATATGTATTACAAAATTTTGTATTACTTACAAGGGTATCCGCGTCGACAAATACACACTTTTCGTACTGAGTTAACCTCCAACAATGCAATTTGGTAAAAGTTATACCCAATTCTGGTCTAGCTAGCAAGGCCAGATTCGCTTCGTCCTTTGAATCGAGAACATTGACTTCTTGTACAAAGGAGAATATTTCCGCCAATTTTTCCCTAACGTAAAGAAAACGTTGCTTACACATTGCAATTAGAATCTAGTCAATGTCATTGCTTAATTGAAATATTCTATAAACCATAAAAAATTGACTGGCCAAGTTGATTGTAAGATATTATAATATTCTCTCAATAGAGATGATGTTTTAAAAGTCAAAGACTTGGAAAAAATTATGCCGCACAATGCAAATTGTACAGCATCTACATTATCAATCAAATAAAATTTAGCATTTCTTTTGTGATTCTGTATCTCACAATACTAATACACTCTTAATAACTCTTTATGAATTTTTTTAAAAAAATTTTAAACAAAAATTGTCATAAAAACTATTCCTTTTATTATTATAATTATTGAATGTCGAATAAATATGAGAATTCGTTTTCACTTTTCCCGACACGATTTGGCATGCTCCCTGCGTGCCCTTCGGTAATTGCCGTGTTGAACTTGGACTAAGATGATACCTCATGATCGCCGTAACACCGGGGGTGATCAGGCAAGCCAGTTCGTGCTTGGTGCCGACCCGGCGTAGAGAATGCGCCAGGACCAATGCTCCCAGAGAGTAGGCATCGTTTGTAGCTAGTGTAACCCATGCATATCCTGAAAGATGAACGAAGATGTGATGAAACACTTGACGAGGCATTCGCTTCTATTAGACGCAGCCGAGTAGAATCTATTTTAGATCCAACGAAGTCGGCGTTTAAATCTACGTCGTTGCATGGATATGCAGACTACACGAATAATTGTACACTGGACAGTTTTCGAAATATGCATCACCCAAGGCCATTTCAGTGAATTTTCCGATTTCAAAGTTCGAATTTTTAAGTAAAAAGTACTATTTTCTTCTTGTTTTTTTTTTTACTTTCAATTAGAAATAATTGGAGAAAAATTTGTTCCTTTATTTTTTTTTCTCTTTAGTCTTTTGCATTTACTGCTCGTCGTAAATATCTTGCTTATCTAATTTAAAAATTATATGTAAACTATAATCGGCTTTTTAAAGTGTTTATTTTGTATTTAAGGAAATATACAAAAACTGTTTTATTCAAGGATGATCAGAAGAAAGTTTCATGTTGAGATAATATAAATTTTAACGAAATGCAAAAAGATGCTAATAATCTGCATAATTTCTCGTCATAGCCTCGTGACTTAAAATACTTATAAAATAAATGACATGTTTTTTGTATGTGAATATGTTGTTTTCATGGAATGTCCTTCAGTTCAATCTCAAGACAACACGACCAACAAGTCGTAAAGCCGATCCGTGCGTCAATAAGTCGAGTTAATTTCTTAACATTGATTTTCAAATTAACCGCGATCTTATGTAAGTGCAATAAAGATAATGGGTAAAATTATGCCAACGAACTCCGCAAAGTTCAAATGTTATCGCGCACGCAGTTTACAGGCGTGCACTTCTATAAGCACAGATACCTCAAATTTGCAGAAAAAAATGCTATGTCAGCAATTTAAAAAAACGTTCCTATTATTTTTACGCGAATAATAAATGAAAAGTAAACCGTGCTTTGCGAGAAGTTTAGAAATTGGAGTATCTATATTTATAAAAATTATTCGTACTCTTTATCTAATTCTCTTTAACAATCTTTATCTAATTCTCTAACAAATGAATTGAATGAATTCTTTTTAAAAATTGTAAACAACGGTGGTCGAGGATTCTGCGCAAAAATCCGATACATTTTCGACGCCATTCTACCACAAGAACGCAGAGGAATGTAAAACGGAGACGATAGAGAAAAGGAAAAGCCGAAAATGAAAGTGACGTTGGCAATCTTCCAACTCCGGATGTATAATTAGAGATCTGTCGTATTGGTCTCACTTCCTCCTGACTCGGCATCAAGAGGCTTTAATTGTAAGTAATTATTTCTCGCGACATTTATGTTCACGACTGCGTTCTACGCATCAGGACAGGTCGCACATCTTCAAAGCAGGAAAATCTTCGTCAATTCGTTAGCATATTATTATAAAGTAACATATATTACAAAGTAACAAATACATTCTGGTACACAAATAAATTTCAGTATATTTAGAAGGAATAAATATAACTTAAATTCAGTTTCAGCGTTTTATTTATTAACTAATAACAAGCATTGGACGTAACTAGTTTTTAATTATATCGTCTTTTGCTCCTATCATTAGTCTGAGGCTTATTTTAAAATCTTGATACGCATTATATTTGTGAAACGTGCGCTTTGTATGAATATGTTCATGATTATTGAATTTCAAATATAGAGTTATGCTATAAATAATTACAAATACTTAAAGTAATTTAAAATCATTATACGAAAAATGTGGAACCAATCGCCACAAAATATAATGCGTGCCAAGATTTTAAAACAAGTTTCTGATAAAAGCAAATTATTGACAGAAGCAAAAGACGATATAATTGAAAAATAATTGCGTCAAATTTGTATTTGTTACGAATTATTAACTAAAGCGTTGAAATTGAATTTAAATTTATTTATTCTAAATATATTGAAATTTTTTTGTCAACCAGAAAGAATGTGTCATCCTGTATATTTCTAGCGAATAAATTATATAAAACGGAATAATTCTTAATATTTTTAATATAATATATTAAAATAAACTTTCTGTTTATTATAACGAAAGACTTCCAAAGATTTGCTGTAGTAAATTGTCACATTTGGCGATTAAATATTCATATTTATTTTTATGGATATTTGTACGTTTCGTTTTAAATTTTCGCGAATATTCGCGAATGTCGAATTTTCGCGTGTCTTTACACGATTACCAGTCTATTCAAATAAACAACATTTATTCTAATGGATGGAAATGCGTTAGAAATGTGTTACTTTTGTGCACAGTGTATATGCAAATCGCCATTAGAAACACGTGCCGACAAAACCAGCGTTTAAGTCGCAAAAAACCACGACTGGGTAGAAATTTTTACCTACGCAATGTGAAAACTTGGCAGAACGAAGGAGACGCAAATCATCGGCGAGCACCCCTTGTTTTTCACAGGCGCAAAATTCATCGCACATTTATTTATAACGTATCCTATTTCTATTTCGCGTGATATCCGTACTATCCTTTGCGCGTAAACGAACCAGCAAGTTTTGGCTGTGCTCTATTTTCCCCCCTGGATAAAACACGTCACCTATTCTTAGGTGGACCCACGACGAAACTCTGCCTCCGATTCGCGCAATCGTCTTTTGGAACGACGATGAGAATTCGTAAAATTCCGAGATAAATTAAATCCGCTGCATCTCTCGCATTTGCTTTTAAATCGGACGAGGCATGAGAAACAAAATAGTCGTGTTAGAACATTCCGCTTTGGAATTGTACATAATAATTGTATGTATAATTACACTCTTCAAACGTGCTAAATTTAACGCAATTGACTCTTTTGTGCGTTGGGATAATAAGGACAATAATAAACAAGACGAAAGAATGGCGCAAGACATGCAGACAGTGCATAATCTGCATTATCGGTTCAAAGTTCATCTGTCGATTATCAAGAACTGTGGACAATATTTACTATTAAGATATCAAGGATGTTGATAATTAGACACCTATGACGTAAGCAAAGTAACTTAAAAGAAATAATATTATATACAAAGTATTCCAGATAAAAAAAAATATTATTGTAGAAAATTATTCGCTCTTCTAGTCCACTTTCTTCTATAAAGAAGACTGCAAGATTCATTTCATATAAATATGAAATATAAAAATATCGATAAATTTGCTGTCAAAATTTTCAATCGCGTTTCGTTCGTAATAATTCTTCGCGTCAAATTAACTCGATGCTGTTAATACTGAATGCGAATTAGGGACTTGCCAAATAAGTTCCGAGATACATGATAACCTCGTGAACGAGGAAGAATGTCATCACATGTACACGTGATTGGAGAGATCGATCACACCATTAATCCTGCATGATCATCCGCGCGATTCAGAAAAAAAAAAAAAACGTCTCTTGCATGTGAATAACAGAAATAGAGCACGTAGTATTGGGGACCGGGCAAGCGACGTTCGCCAACATGTTCTCGATTCATAATTCGTAATAAGCACCTGATGTAACGTCATTCTAACCGCTGCCGCGCTGAAAAACACGTGGGCGAACGCGTCAGAATCCAGAGCGGATAAATGTCGGGGATATAATAATGAGTCATGAGAGAACGCGGGGGAGAAAGAAGCGAAGAAAGAAGAGGGCCGGGATCTTCGAGGAGGATCGGATTTCTGGCTGCCGGTGTTCTCAAGAATATTCGGAGTCATGTCAAAGATTAAACGATGTTCTGTGTCAGAGCTTTCGTTACTGCTCGCTCTTCTGTTTTTTTTAAAATTTTGTTCTCGCGCATTTCCGTCACGCCTAATTTGATTGATTGCGCGAGGGATATATCATCCAAAAACTTAACTTTAGACATCTAACAAAACAGTAAGAAACGCAAAACAAAAAGACATATTTAACTATCTGCTGTCAAGTTAACATAAATCTGAAAAAGAGAGGATATTAATACAAATATTCTAGTTATAAAAATATTTAAAAATAAAACAAACAGTAAATTAGTGAAAAGGTGAGACGAAATGAAAATTCTACCTCAGAATTTTGTCTTAATTTTAATAAAAGCGAAGAATTTTGCAGTGCTTAATTTCGAAATGGGGTAGTTAAGTCCTCCGATTTCCAACACTGCGCTGTCATTCGCGTATAAATTACAGAGAAAGAGTGAGACGAAAAGAATGTTTTAGCATCCTCGCTATATTTAATGTCGCGAGGGTTGATCTTCCCTTTGAGAGATGCGGAGGTGAGGTCTTTCACGTATAACATTATGGTGCGAGAATACCCGAAACCCGAGGAGGTAGACTGTCGGCATAGGTTTATATTTATACAAGCCGCTCTTCCAGCTCTTATAATAGCAAGCCGGTCTTGCATTCGTCGTCTTGCGAAATGCATTCATACGTCTTGCGTTAGGTCAAGCACTCGCGAGCGTCGGAGTTGAATCGACAATTTCCTTATAAGCTTCGCAGTCGGAAACAACGTGGGGGTAATCGCCTCGAACGATTTTCCGCAAACGCGAAAACGTGCGATGCCAACAAAAGTCGGTCCTCGACAATCAATAATTCTCGAAAAACATTAATTCTCGAAAAAAATTAATTATACATTTATTATTACTTATTTTAAAAACAAATCTAAAATTGCAGAATTTATATTTCTGTGATAACGAACATTTTTTAATCACAAAGAATTTATGAATAACATAATATTGCACTGTAATTTAAAATCCCGTTTAATCTCGCTTCCTCCTTTCCGATTTGTATGAACGCTGCGCGTTCTCTCAATTTTAATTTAGAGGCTAAACATTGTTCTCTTGAATACGTCGTCTGTTCTCAACGACGAGAACGCTACGAAGAACACGCGCCTCAGACTCCTAGTGCCGAGAGTCCGAATTCCTGATCCAAAACAGACGAGGTCAAGATTGAGATCACATAAAAATAGTATCGCCGGCTGTCGATAAGGGTCCAATGAACTTGACAATTAGTTTACTTACGTGAAATATCCCGATTTCTTAAATATTGCTTTATTTATCGTGAGATCCTATCCGATTATTTAAAGACGTTTTGCACGCTGTTAGCGATTTCAAAAAAACAAAATTCCATCTAAATCGATAAGTTCCATTTATTTAAAGAGACTTCTCGATCAATAAATGGAATTTTCTTTAGAAAATGGAATGGATTCGAAATAGAATCCTTATATTTGGAATAATATTAGTCTTGCGAACATCGAGATATCCGAGGGGAGTACTTATGCTTCGAATACTTTGTTTTAAATCGCTGTTTGTATCGGATATTATTTTCAGTTATTTATCAAACCCGATAATTTACAATCGAGGGCAAATCACGGCTCTCTTGATACTAGTAATCCAGTTACCTGGATTTCATGCAAAAGATAAATATTTTCTCCCGTTATCAGAATACCGTTGGCGATCGATAAGCGTCATATCGCATAAGTCTCAATTACATATGCTATAATATTGATATGCCGGGATACTTGAGATGTTACGCGTTAACCATTCTCGTAATGAGAACGACCAAGGCTCATACGTGCACGACGAGATAAAATCGAAAGGTCTCGGCATAAGATTACCTGACTGATCTCACTAAATTCATTCTCTGCCCACATAAACCCGATGGGAAAGTTGTGCAAACAACGCAAAAATGGCATCATAAATTGACGAAAAATTTCACAAGTTGACTGAAATTAAGTTGAAATTAAGATAATTCGCTATAGAAAATTATTAATTTTGTCAAAATTTAATATCGAAATTACGCAAACGTGGATGTTTTATAAAAGATCAATATTTCTACATGCATTTTCTTAAATATACGCGGAAAAAAACACTTTTGCTGGCAAATCTAAAAATTTGGCCAAATATACAGAGCTAAAAATTTCGTTCAGAATTATTATGTGCAACGTTCAAATTAAAAATGAAAATTTTTGCTGTTGTTACTATCATATTTAAATGTCCTTAAATAAATTTCGATGATTTAACAAAATTATTTTCAGATCTGTAGCCAAGTTTTTAACTTTGCCAACAAAACTGTTTTCTTTGAATACCCACGTACACATCGCAATTTCATGCAGGAATTCATCTTATAATTCTATTTTTCTTTTTTCCATGAAAATGATATATTGTCCGAGTGAGGCTGCGCCGGAAGAACGCGCAACGTTCTAAATATATCGTTGATATCGCGTGCGTCGTATCGTGTGACGTCGTTCTAACGAATTCTTTTTGGCACATGTCTGGATACACCTGCGCGAACAATCGGAGCGACAAAAATCCGTCCTCGTCCCGCCGAAGATACGCAAGCGATTCCGCCGAAAAATAAAAATATGGGAGCACGCGCGCTCTCGGAGACGCTTGGCATGGCGCCGCCGAGTTTCTCTCCCTGTCGGAGAGACGGCCAGGAATAAACGTCAGAGATACCGCCGACGACGATGACTTATCTCGCTTCTCGCGTCTGCGAGGAATCCGACGGCTCGAAGAGACAGAAGAAAAAAACGCGGGATGCGAAACGCGCAGTTAGATCTTCTTCGCGAGCCTCACCTCTTTTTCTCACCAATTAGGTGACTAATTAGCGCGATAGCGCCTGTTAAACGGTGTCGATAGTTTTTTGCAAGAATGAACGTCTATTTCTACCAATGTAGACGATTTTAATTTTGACTTGACATACTTTTTATCTTCTTTCAATTCTAAAAACTAGGAAAAGAAGAAAATAAATTGAACCGAGATTAAAATTAATGGACATTGATAGAAATGGATTTAAATCTTCTTTAAATGGGACGATGATTATAATCGAATCGGTCAAATCGGTTTACAGTATTGATTTTAGATACTTCAAAAATTTTACAGAAAGTATGAAGTTTATTTATGATAAACTTGTAAACAGAACATCCTGAAAGAATAATGAGACAGCAACATAGAAGTTTGTAAAAATAAAATGCTTAAATAAAAATGCATGTCGTATTTTCATGGAATTTTTTAATAATATAAACCTTTAAGTACAATCAATAAACGTTAATCAAAAAATCATCTTCCATAAACAAACAACTAATTATGATTAATTAATATGATTCGTTATTAATTGAAATTTTATGTTTAAAAAATAATTTCATATACTTTTGTTATTTAATTTTTAATAAACTTTTATGTTGCAATCTTGTTGGTTTTGAATTTTGGGATATCCTGTATAACGATACTGATTTTGATATGTTGTCACAATATGAATTTCAAATTTCGCATTCGTTTTCTTTTTGCTTGTGCTAATTTCTATTTTTTATCAAGAAACTTAAAACTTTATTAAGATTTCAATTTTCTCCTACTTTCTCTTTAAATCCGGAATACAGAATCTTATCTTATTTATTAAAATTTTTAAGGACAAAATAGGACTTTCGCTCCTGGACAGCGGTCGTGTCATGTTCTCTCAAGAGCAGGATTTCACGTAGACTTAATATTTCGCGCTATTTAACTTTTTAACTCTTTAATTGAAAAAATTCATTCAAAATCGGAATGAACAGGAAGCGAAACGTCCCGTTCGAAGTCACACGACTTAACTCCATTTTCATCAATGTAGATTAATTTATTCTCGATTAAATTCACTTTACATAATTCCATTAGAATTAGAAGAAAATAAAAAAATCGAACCGAGATCAAAGTTGATTTAAACGGGGACCCTGATATGCCCTGGAACTGAAAGCTTGATCAACTTTCGAATCAAGCCGCGCGGGATTCGCCCTGGCGGCGCAATCGTGGCTTCTGAGTTGCCGATTACAAGGGATCAGCAGATCGGGCAGAAAAAAACGAAAACAATTATTGAGCATACCGGCATACGGCGAGAGAGTATCATACGTTCGCGTCGCACGTGAACGGCGATCCCGTGATCTGTTCCGCCAATACCGGTTCCACGGGAGCGCCACGCAAGAAGGAGGCTCGCTCATCCGATGCTTGTGACTCGATGACGAAGGTCATCGGGTCAAGACCGGCGAGCGACGTTATCGGCCGGCGAATTGAGATGAATTCGAGCCGCGTGTCGACCGGATCTCGGCGAGACTCTCGGGAATTCCTCGCTCGTTTCGACTTACCGCCCATGACTGGTGCTCGCGGTGTGAGAGAACTCGAGCCGCTTCCTCTTCCTCTGTGCCGAGACTGGGAGACCGAACGTTCCGTACACACCACTTGCCGGCACTGACTGATGAACAGGAACGTCCGTGTGCACTTCGTCGGCGCCACAACACGAGTGAAGAGAGCAGCGAGTAGGCCGCTTCGCGAGATCACTTTGCTTCAACTCCCTCCTTGTCCCCCTCTCCCCCCCTTCCCCCCGTCAGTCACATCAAGGAGCGGACGGTGCTCCACTTTACCGACGACGGAATCGCAGCGGCTATTCTGGAGACGATTTAAATGCCGACTGCTTATCATAGCGAAATGTCATCTTTTCTGTTTCCTGTAACAGGAAGTCAATTGTGTATTTTGAAACGAGATGAAAAGATTACGAAATAAAAGGAATTCTCGAGCATCTCCAATTTTATATTTCGAAAACTAATAAATTTTCTCACTTCTGTAATTTTCTTCTTTTGTAATTTTATTTCGAGGTACACAATTGGTCTCCTGAATTGCTTATGCTTTTTAAATTCCTCTTTTTTCTAATCCAATTGTATTTGATTTTATTGAGTTAAATCATAAATAAATTCTGTTTTCTAAAATAAAATTTATTTGCCAATAAAAATTTGGCACTCAGCTGTTAATTCAAGAGATAATATTATAATAGTTATGCTAATAAAATTTGATTGATATATAATCAGGTAATGACAATTAAATTCTATTTATATTTATTATCGGAATTTATTTATGACTTAAAAAAAGAATAATATTGAGTTAATATAGCATCACTAATGTAATTGAAAATAATTTTATTAAGTCAATAACAATATGATATGAAATAAATTCATATATATTTCTTTCATTTATACTAAATTGAATTAACTATTAATTTAATTTATTGAATTAACAAATTAATTTCAATTAAATTTGATGCTATCCATTCAATATTATTTTTTTCAGGTAATGAATATTGAAAGTACATGGATCTAGATGTAATGAAAGGAATAAAAATAAAAAATTAAACGTAAAAAATTAAATTTTAACATATGGAAAACCATACTTCAATATACAATAAAGATGTTCTTCTTTAGTCAAAAATAATTGTTTATTCCTAATTATTTATATTTAATTCTTTGTTCTTTATTCCTACTCATTGTGTCGAGACTTTATGATATAACTACAAAGAACAGATTTATCTGATTTCAACAAACCGAATTAAAAAATGAGTGGAAATAAGATATCGACGATCACTGAAGACGATCTCGTTAATTGATACGTTAATTAATTGACGCAAAATAAAATACTCCGCTGGTTATATAGTACAGAGTAAAAGCTCATATCTCTTGCAAACAGGACTCTAAACGAGATTTGGCACTTCTCCCTTTCCCTCTCCTGTAATCATTTAAATAATATATTTTAGTATTACTTATTTTGGCAATCCGCCATCGAATTTTGTTAACAGATTCTGTTATACTTCCGCTGACATTCTATTCACAAAGTTTATATAGGATGTTTCAAAAATGGAGGCCAATCGCTTGGAAAATTATTGGAAAGAAAAAAAAACAAGAAAAAAATAAAACTCATGAAAATCATCTCTTCTTTTTATATTGACAAAAAAAATTCAAAAACAAAACCATTTCAAATTTCATTGTAAAAATGGCGAAAACACGAAAACAACGTATTTGCGGATCCATATTCATATCAACTTTCTTTCTGATTTTTAGGTCCCCATTCGTTTCCCAAATGATTAACCTCGACTTACGGAACACTCTGTATATAATATAATAAGCTCGTATAAAATCAGCTTTCGATTTTAAGCTACCTGGAAATTCCGATTGCGGCGACTTTCCGGAGCCCGTAAATCTTCCTGTACACGTTCTCAGCCGCCAATCGGGAGCAGGCCGCTCTAATAGGGATTATTACCCGGCCGATCGACGTCCCCCGCTACGCCCATACCGCCCCTCGCCGTGGATCCCGGTCACGGTGCGCGGTCGCGGGGGGTCAGGTGAGTTCGCGCCGGTCGGATCTGATCGGGTCGCGCAGCTTCGAGCCGAACTCTCAGCAAGCCGAGCCCACGTCGCGACATCTGTCGCGAGAACGCTGCGGCAGCACGATTGCGTCGTTTCGGTTCCGGTGTTTTCCGAGCCGCACCGTGCCGCGCCGCGCCACACCGTGCTGCACCGCGCCGCACCGCACCGCACCAGCGCGGGCCGCCGCGGGGTCGGGCAGCAGACATGCGACGTACAGCGGGAGTAGGTGCGTCAGGGGCCGGCAGCGTTCGCGCCGTTAACCACCGGGTGAACGTCGACGACAACGACGACGACGACGACGACGACGACGACGAGACGAAGGACGAGGACGAGGAAGTGCGTGAGACACGCGCTCGCGATCCTACAATGTAGCCCCATCGCGTGATTTGGTCCAATTCTACCCGTCTGTCCCTCTGTCTGTCTGCCTACTTGTTCCCGTCTATCTCTCTCTCTTTCTCTCTTTCCAACTCTCTCTTTCTTTCTCTTTCTTTCTCTGTCATCGTCGTCGTCCGGGCCGGTGTCGCGGACGGAAGACCGGGCGAAGATCAGCACGAGATCGCGCGTGTCAGTCAGCAGAAACG